TGCCTTGTGAATATTTTCAGCCCCAATCCACCAAGAAAAATGTCAAGGATTGGTCCAGGATGATTGCTCTATGCAAAATTTACTTTTGTTGGGGACTTTTCAAGTTATATGCAGTGTAAATTTATTTGCTATCATGCTATACTTCAGGCATTGTTTAAAAGACATCCTGAGTCTCCATGGATCAATTCAAAAGGATGGTAGCATTTTTTCTCCTTGCAGAAAAGAAGGACCAATGTTGTAGATATTTGTTTACTTCCAGAAAAACTCTGGGAATTAGCATCTACAGACATCATGCAATGTTCATTTTAACATTTCTACCTACCTTTTGTATTATACACACTACAAACAATAATAGGGAGTCATTTTACCTCATTCCAACAAATATATTGAGTGAAAAATACATAAAATGGAGAATAAGTTCAAATTTACATTTTAGAGGAGGATATAAAATTTTCTAGCCCAGAGACTTTATGAAACTCATAACAATAGCAGGGAGATCCAGTGTTCAAAATATCTCTTCCTCAAGTTGTGAATTGCTTTCAGTAGGTTGCAGTCATTCAGAATTTCCACTTTGTTACATCCCATTTTTGGCACTTGTCACAGTCAATTCCCTGCCTTATCCTGAGTTTTCAATTGTTCATCCCCAGACTTGGTATATACAATCTACACCTCCTTAGCTATATTTTATACACTAGAGCTTAGTTCTCAAAATGTTTGATTCTTGTGTTATAGCACCAACTTTGTCCAAAAAATGATCAGACAATCTTTTTGCCCAGTTAGTGTAAGTCTGACTTTTGTAGTTCTATTGCTAAACTTTGTAATCTAAGTCCAACTTTTGTAGGATTTTGTATTCTATTAGTAAACTTTGTAGTCTGAGTCTGGCTTTTGTAGTCCATCACTAAACTTTGTAGTCTGTCAGTGTCAGTTTCCCTTTTAGGGCATGCACCTTCCTTTTTTGGTCATTTTTCCCAAAATACAATAATTGTAGCCCTTTCTCTTAGCTTTCCAAATATACTGAAATTACATTATTTGGTTTTGTTTTTGTGGAGAAAAATGCAGAAAACAAAAAGAAAATGCAACACTCTTGAAAATTCTTTACTTTATATGTCCACAATGGGGGCACTTCAGAACATAATTCAAACACATTCAGGAAGCTACAGTGTAGGGCTATAACTTTCATCTTTGACCATTTTTGGTAATTGGTCATGTGACCAACATCCCCTTACATGGACCCTGACAAATAGAGTCATCTTTATCTTCAGCCTCCTACCCAGCTGTCATTTCAGGGTTTACAAAAAAAATGAGCAACATCTGAAATATTGTAAAATATAAGGTTTAGATTATAAATATGATCATTGATCAAATCATTTATTTTAAAGAATGCAACTCTTAACTTTTTGAACCCCTCCACAACAGCTGGCATTTTACAACTGTAAACAACATAGCCACCAAGGGACCTCTGCTGGGGGATGTCTGCTTTGGGAAAGATGAGTAATATCCTGTCAAGAAACTTAACCCATTCCACCATAGATCAAGTTGCATTCGCTACTTCTGCCTAGATAATCCAACTACTTGTACTATCATGGCCATCTCTCAGCAACCTGATGCCGAAAAGTCATATCAAAAATAAGCAATTTCTCATGTAAGCAATGCTGCATGACATGACACTGAACAGGACACTGCAACAGTCAAGTGTGGATATAGGAAAAGATTGAAATACCAAAAATGATTGAACCCACAGGTAAGCATTGGCCTTCAATGATGTGAGTGCGCACAGGGCAACATCAGAAAGGGGATCCCACCACAACTATAAAATCAGGCATCCAAAATATGAGTGCCATGTGCTGAGAGAAGTTCTCAGACTATTACTGCTGAGATCACGCAAATGTTGTGTTTCTGCACATAGTAGAGGCAGAGGTGGAGGGGAGATCAATTACATTTGACGGTAATTCAGTGTGAGAGTATTTCATCTATTGGCCTTAACAGGAACAGAACATTATTGTTCATTGCATAGTCAGAGAGTGCTAAGATAATTCCTGCTGACATGGTAGCAGGCTCCACTTGGTGGGGTAAATCCTTGGCCTCCTCCCTGTCCCAGTACTTTACCATCCCCCACATAATCCACATGGACTCCACTGGATTCCACTGGACCAAGGGGCTGCGAGCGGATCCCGAGAAAGCGACTCCCTTCATCTTGTCCCATCAAAGTCCCAAAGGAGTTGAATCCAGGGTCTGATAGGTGAGACCAAATCAGCGTGAAGATAACACTGTGTGCAATGCGATAGAAATAGTAACTGTTCAATTATTTGTAGAAACATATTTTATAAGCCTTGATGCCATTTGTGGATTCATCTTGTAAAGCTGACTGGTTCAATATCGACCTTTTTCAGCATTCTCTCTACACAATCGCAACTTCTTCTTCCACATAGATGTCGTTGTCTTTGACATCCTCTTACAGTATAATGTTCATGTCATTGCTATCCAACACCTGATTCAGATCTCTCCATTCATCCATCTTGTCCACCGGAATCCCCATCTTCAACTCCTCCCATCTGCTGTTATATGTGGTTGCCCAGAGTGTCATTTTGGGTTGTGATTGAATGGGAGCAGTGATGTCGAGACAAGCAGCATTGTCTTGATCTTGGATATCCTTGCAAATCACACCCTGGTGTCTTTGATGGTAAATTGTAGATCTATGTTTTGTAAGGGGGAGATATCTGTTTACAAAGATTGCATTGTAAGCAATGTGCTGGTTCCAATTTCTTGGAAGATAGTGTAGTTGATGGAAGCACCTGACGGCATCTGGAATTGCACTGTCTTATTGGGAGTTTTTGGCAAAGCTGTATAATTTTTTACTTCTCCACGGCTCATGGTGTCGATATATTTGATAAATTTGCAGTTCTAGGGTGTCTGCAGCTGGAAATGCTGCCTTGCATGGTATTTATATGGTTCTCCGCAATAATGCAGTTACTAATCCTACTTTCTTTGACTTACAAATGGTATGCTACGGTAGATATGAAGGCCAGGAGCGATGAGCACTCAATGCGGCAGATGATATCACAGCTTGATTTAGTGGAGTTGCATTTCTTGGGATCTTCTGCTCGCAGCCCCTTGCACTGGACTTCACTATATATCAAGACTTCACTACATACTGGTACAAAACTGGACTCCACTGGAATGCCAGCTACTTTCAACACTTTAGGCAGCCTTATACTACAATCCCCTCCACCTCTGCCTCTACTAACACAAAACTGGACTCCACCAAACTATACGCTATTTTGCTAGCATTGCTAAAGATATTTTTGATAATTTATCACCAACTACTCCTATTGAAGAGATACTCAATCTGAAAGATGCATATCATGATCAGTACTATTTGTAGAACTACTTTCCTTATCATCATCATTGTCTGAACCTGAACCACTTTCACTTTTTGAATCCATTTCTTCCTCCTGATTGCTTTCTTCATGACTACTTTCTTCATCACTGCTTTCTTCATCTGCTGATTCATCATCCTCCATAGATGTCATCTTGGCAAGCACATGCTTGACATGGTAAACAAGCATAGTATGTATAAACCAATTGAAAATTTGAAATGTCATTTGCTTCAAAATAGATTCATAACCAGCAAGCCATGCATTAAGCTGTTCACAGACTTGAGTGTTAAATTCTCTCCATTGAATAAGATTGCCATCCTCATCAATTGTTTCTCCCACAAGATTTGGTGCACTACCATCTTTTGGTGCAGGATTACACCATTTCCAACAAATTTCATCTTTGGCACAGTGATTGTTGTAGTGATATGTGTCAATAATAAAACAAGTTGTGTCTGTCCAGTCTTTCCATCTCTCACTTCCAACAGCTGTTTTGAAAACTTGACATGCTTTGTCAATGCATATATAAGAAGGCCGATCTTCCTTGTTAGGAAACAATTCATCAAGCCAATTAAGAATGTTAGTTGGAGATTCAGATTTTGGAAATTTGGTCCATGCAATGACAACTCCACATGGTGAACATGCTGTTTCAACACAATATGAGTGATTGGGTGAGAAATAGGTCTTTCGTTTTATGGTGGGTTGAGGATTTTCAGTCTCAACCTCATCATCATGTGGCAGCTGAATAGCAGCATCAAAGATGTTTGGCCACTCTTGTCGTTCACCAGGACGTTGAAGAACACACCGAATACCATTAATGGTGGCTTTACTGCAATCATGAATACTTTTCTTCCAGTCAGCAACATGTTCAGCACAAGCTTGTGTTCCTTGAATCTTGTATTTAGAACAGCCAACCACACAACATTTATTTGCAAGTAAAGCTTCATGTGTTGCACAGAGTGCACCACCATGAGCATTGAGAAGGTCATTGGTGCAATCATCAAAAGCACAAATCTAAGCAGAGAATCAATATCAAATCAAAACCAACCCAAATTAAATAAACAAACCTGTGGACCCATAACAACACCATCCAAAGTTAACATATTAACATCAAGTGTACCTGGAATCCGCTCTGTATCCCACATTGCTCATTTGAATGGCTTAGTACATTCAGAACAAGTATGTTCTCTTGCACCTGGTATTTCACCATTTTTACCAAGAACAACAAATGCATGTTGAGTAAGATCATCAATAGCAATGTTAGGTTGGGTTTCAAAAATAGAATGCTGCACAAAAGCTTGCCAAACTTGTTTTCGACTGAATTTGAATGTGTTGTGAGGGTCAATAACTCCAAAGCTATTGTTCCAATACTGTGTATAGGTGTTTGCAGATGCATGAAATGAGTACATGCCATTCAATAGTGCATTTGAAAAGATTGTGTCAACCCAAATATTGCTTCCAATTTGGAGGTATTTAGCTGAGTTCAGAAATATTTCTGTCTGACTGCCTCTATTATGATGTATTTGATGGTCAGCATAATACATTGAGTGACATGTTGTACATTCTCCAGTCAATGCAGCAACATTCTTAAGAATTGATGACCCTTTAATCAGGGTCACCAAAGGTATATCACATTGGAGTATATACTCCAATGTGTCAAAATTTACAAGAGGCAGTTGTACACTCCATGTCAATAGGACAAATCAGTTGTATGGGTTCAATTGCCTTTAGGGAAACTTTCTGTAACTTTTTGTTGAAAACACGTGCTTGGTGTTTATAAGAAACAGGTCTTTTCTCAGTATCAATAATTGGCTCAAAATTATCAACCTTTATTTCTTCTTTTTGTCTTGGATCATTCAGGTCAGGAATATTTAAGTATGGTAACTGTTTATGCCTATGCACTGGATCCTCCTCTTCATCATCCCTTGGGAGAAGTGGTTTAGGCTTCTCTTTCGGTTTTGGTATAGCTTTCTGGGTTTTCTTAATTACTACAGGAGGAATTTCTTCCTCCACTTCTTCAATTTCTTCTTCTTGCTCATCATCAGAATCTTTGAATTCTGCTAATTGTCTGTGGTTTTTGGCTTTAGTTTGGTTCTCAAGAGCTTTCTTACTTCTGGTATTGACCGCATTCCTACCAGATCGCTCAATCCTTGAACCTACAAGAAACCCTGCTGTCCCTGAGTATCAGCTTGACTGCGTCTAGTAGCTACATAACTTGCAGCTTCTTGACCTTGACCTTGCTGTCCCTCAAAATATGACAGAATGTTTTTCATATTGTTGACTATGTCAACTTCTTGTACCGATGGACGTGCCACCTGTGCCAGCACCTTATTACCCAACAGTGTATCAATTCGAGTAGCCATTTTATCTAACATATCATCTCTCGAATCTCTAATCTGGTTGGTGTATACTGATTTAACTCGAGCATCTATTCTAGGGTTTAAAGGTTCAGTTCAGTCCGGTTTTTTGCCCCGAAAACGCGCAACCGTGGACCGCAACCGGTCCAGGACCGACCCAGATATTGAGGGAACCGAACCGAACCACCTAGGACCGGTCTTTTGCGGTCCATGATACCAGTTCAGACCGATCCAGACCGGTTTTTTTGCATATAATTTATTATACCAATATAAACCATTTATATCTCAACCATTATTACTCTGAAAAATAAACGGGTTATATAAAATAGTAAAGCATATAAATACCCGTCATTCTACCAATTTTCAAGAGATTTAAGGAAGATTT